GAGTCGTGGAATCTGACATCTCACATGATTTGATTTCATTCATGTCCACAGCACAAATGGTACAGGTTTAATTAAATATGAATAGGGGGAAGCTTTCCTTATCCTAAGTCCCTCTAAAAGCGTTTCATCAGCATCTCTGTCGTAGATGCATAAAAGAGCTCTAATTTGGGTCATTAAGTCATTGCAACGGATCAAATAACAAGGCCTATTACCTCTGCCTGGGGAATGAGAGAGTGAGTGAGAGAGAAGATAAGAGACTATTATTAAGATTCTGTACTTGGCTTATCACTTGACTGGAGCTCATTTATTTAATCATGTGATTATTAGTGATTCATAGTACTAGAAGACCAGTACTAGAATCTGAATGCAGATGGAGAGAGAAGGATATGCTTTAAGGTTGTTTTCTGGTTGTGTTTTCAGTTGTGATATACATAGGGTTAATTTAGGATAATTGGGCCATTTTCCCCCTCAGTCACCTCAACGGCAAAAAGCATCCCAATTTACCTGAATTCTCCCTATATGGTTGGGCATATGTGGCTTAATTCTTAAGGCCCGTTCACAGAAAGAACTATAGCTATAATCATGACTATATTAACTTCAACACGATAACATAGTGTTTATTATAAGTTTGCGCCTCAGTTTTGTTGTCTGCTGCATAAAAAGTGTACAAGTGGGGAAAATAATTATTTGATCCCCTACTGATTTTGTAAGTTTGCCCACTTACAAAGAAATGAAGGGTCTATAATTTTTATGGTAGGTTTATTTTAACAGATAGAGAGAATATCAAGCAAAAAATCCAGAAAAAACAGGGGATCAAATAATTATTTTCCCCACTGTATTTTTGTGACTTTGAAGCCCCGTACAGTTAAGCGAGTGGAATTTACTGTCATAAATATATCACAGTGGATAGCTGTACACGTGCATTTGTTGCGTCTCTAAAGCAACCCGAACTTTTCGTGGAATTTCGTACCTGCTCAACATTCGCCTAAAACAATTGTTTGGGGAGAACGCTGGAAAGAAATAAAAGCCATTCACCATATTAGTTAGTGTACTATTCTGAAACTGCATAAAATTACTTGAGATGCTCGAGCTCTTTAGAGTGACTGTGTTTGGATACTGATTGGCTGTCAATGTATTTATCATTCATCAGCCGGAAAAAAGTGATTCCAACTGTCCCTTACGAAAATTAACCATGGTTTTATTAGGCCTATAAGAAAAGTGTAGTAACCATGTTTTTTGGCATATTGATCACCATTTGTATAACCACAGATTTACCATGGTTAAACTAGCAAAACCATGGTTAATTTGTGATTGCCATTGTTTTACTACCATGGTAACCATGCTTTATTTGTAGTAAAACTATGGTAATATTTTGTAAGGGGTGGCTATACCATTATTATGATGGGGACTTCCCTAATGGTAAATTTTAAAGGCCTAGGTATAGTTATCATAGTGTGAACGGGATAGTTGTTATTCACAGTGTGAACGGACCGTTTTTGCTCTATTCTTTCTGCATGATTGTCTGTTTCAGCTTGTTCAGAAAGCTTCAGTGCTTCGATTGGAAAATCCAGTAACATCCTCCAAGCAAAGGCATTTACGTCACGACTATTATTGCTCGAAGGAACGGGACTTGATGACGTATGCAGCGTTCTTGTTTTCCTAAAACTACGCTATTAATCCCATGGAGTTACTCTTAGGTCTAAGAGAACTTCAAACCTAAGACTATTAATTTGTTAAAATCAGTATTTATTTAATATTGCGTTCCGGACAGTTTTTTTCCCCCCTAAAATATAGTAGTGTTTCGAGATCTCTTTCTCTCCAAGGATGAAGCCGAGTCTATTTTTTACTCCTGATCTCACCTGAGGGAGAGCAGAGGGGGGGTGTCAGGCCGAGGCTCAGGTGTGTTTCACCCCCAACCCTGCAAGCTAAAAGTGTTTTCCGTTCATTAAGATGATGAAACATTTCCCTTCTAAGTAGGCTACTGTGTGAATTAGAGTGAGAGAAACCTATTGAATTTACTGTGCTTGGAGGCCAGTGACCCTTATAGTCACACACAAATCCGTAATTTGTTCATATAATGTCTCAGTATTCGTACTACTGCAGTTGTCTAAACACCATTAAAGTAAACAGCACAACTTGGTAGTTTCATCACATCTTGAGACGACAGGCAGCATGTTGCGATCTGCTGTTTTAATGGCAATGTGTTTCTGACCTCTAGTGGCTCAGCTTTGGTAATACCAGTGATAGTTCAGTATCATTGAGATACTCTGGAAGTTTTTATTACAATTTTGAATAGGAAACAACTGACACTACCATTCAAAGTTTGTGGTCCATGAGATTTAAAAAAAAAAGTTTTTAAAAGAAGTCTCTTATGCTCACCAAGCCTGCATTTATTTGATCAAATATACAGTACAAACAGTAATATTGTGAAATATTATTACAATTTAAAATAACTGATTTCTATTTGAATATTTTTTTAAATGTAATTTATTCCTGTGATGCAAAACTGAATTTTCAGCATCATTACTCCAGTGTCACATGATCTTTCATAAATCATTCTAATGTGCTGATTTGCTGCTTAAGAAACAAACCTGTTATCAAGTGCATAAAGGCTGTTCATCTACAAAGACAATCTATTTTGCCAGGTAAGAGAATTTGCTCCCATAACTAACCCATAATCCTAATTTAACAACCTAATTCTCGCAAAAGTAATCTGCACAGGTAAATAAATATTGCGACAGGTCTGTTGCAGTGTAAATACCTAAACAGCAAATGTGAAATGTCTGTATCACACTGCATGTTATGTAAGAGCTGCAGGCTAGAATTTATCGACAACTCACTGCAACCAGATGATGATGAGCAACTTGAGCAGCTACAGGACCGGACAGCTAATCCTGGTGCTCCTGAAGGCTCTTCCCAGCAATTCAACCAAGCTGAAACCTCCGTCAAGCTGTAGTGGCTTTGACTGAGCGTCTGTGATGAGAAACAATGCCAGTTCAAGTCTCACCAGAACACAAAATACTGAAAACTTCACTTTTATGTTAAAGGAATAGTGCTCACCCTCAGGTCATCCAAGATATACATGAGTTTGTTTTTTCATTGGAACAGATTTGGAGAATTAGCATTACATAACTTGCATTACATCAATGAATCCTCTGCAGTGAACGGGTGCCGTCAGAATGAGAGTCCAAACAGCTGATAAAAACATCACAATAATCCACACCTCTCCTGTCCACCAATTAAATCTTTTGAAGTGAAAAGCTGCCTGTTTGCAAGAAACAAATTCATCAAGACATTTTTAACTTTAAACCATTGCTTCCAGCTAAACTATAAGTCCTCTGTCCATAATATTGATTTCTCCAGTGAAAAAGTTCTGCATCAGGAGAGAAATATGCACAGATCAAGCACTGTTTACAACTGTCCAACAGTTTTAAATGAATACATTAGCGGATTTTGATATGAGAGGATAACAGTGGATGGTCTTTTTCACAATTTTTCATGGATTATGGACTCATATTTTGGACAGGAATGACAGTTTAGAGTTAAAATGCCTTTAACAAACGCAGCCTTTAACAAGATGTTAATTGATGGACTGGAGAGGTGTGGATTACTTCTGGATTAATCTGATGTTTTTATCAGCTGTTTGGACTCTCATTCTGACGGCACCCATTCACTGCAGAGGATCTATCGGTGAGCAAGTGATGCGATGCTAAATTTCTCTGAATCTGTTCCAATAAAGAAACAAACTCATCTACATCTTGGATGGCCTGAGGGTGAGTAAATTTTCATTTTTGTGTGAACTATTCCTTTAATGCAAAAACATGTATACATTGTTATGCATTATAAAGGAACAGCTGACTTGAAAATTAAATGTACTCATTTCAAACCTGCATACATTTTATTTGATAAAACAATAAATAATATATTTTATACTTTATATGTTCTTGCTGGAATACACAGTCAATGCAAATTAATCACCATAATTTATATGCACTGATATGAATAGCTTACATCATGTCAGTTAAAAGCTTTTAAAAAATTACACTTCACCTTTAAGCATTAACACACTGCATCTCATGTCAATCAGCCTGTAATGACTCATATTTTTATTCAGTGTTTGTATCCAGCTTTTCACACAGATTTCTGTGATTTATTCATGCATCCTGTACTAACAATTAGTTTACAGATATATACACTGAAAACAAATCATACAAATCAAAAAATCCTGTTGTCCCTATCATGGAGGATGTTTTTTGCGTGAGAAGTGGATCATTAATGACTCCATAGAGAGCAGCTCAGTGGCCGTCTGCCCTGTCCTGCTCTCAACTTCTTTCTGTTCGAACAAACCAACTTTATTCTGTAGAGAAATTCATGCATGACCACAGTGACACCAACTGCAACTTCCTGGTCTGAAAAACGTCAAAATATAAACAAGGGCTTTTCATCTCTGTGAAGGCCTGACAGAAAAGCTATGATTAATGAGAGACAGAAAGAGAAAAAGCGAGAGAAACTAGGCTGCACAGGCCAACTCATCCTTATACAGAGATGGGTTGTTGTTTATGATGCATTTACTCAAGTCTAGCCAGACAAACATAGGAATATTAATGGAAATGTTGTGTAATGTCAGTTTATGTTAATGCCATGCTAATTAATTTATATTAATTGAAGGTTTTAGAAGGTGCAACAAGAAATGAGATGATGTGGAGAAACTTCTGAAATGCTGTAATGTTGAGGTCAGTTGCTATATACCAGGGGTGGCGAACGTCGGTCCTGGAGAGCCGCAGCCCTGCAGAGTTTTGATTCAACCCTAATCAAACACACCTGAAGAAGCTAATCAAGGTCTGAATGGTTACTAGGAAGCTACAGGCAGGTGAGTTTTAATTAAGGTTGGAGCTGAACTCTGCAGGGCTGCGGCTCTCCAGGACCGGAGTTCGCCACCCCTGCTATATACGTTTCAACATCCACCTGTTACACAAATACAACTTAAAGCAGTTAAAGGAACAGGTCACCTAAAATAAAAACTGTCGATTTTCTCACAAAATGGGAATATAACAACGTCTAATACGGGAACAAATCATTTTCAGAGTCAGATTTTTTCAATGACTCGTTTGATCAAGTTCACAGTAAGTTCTGAATTGTCGTTTACTGAAAATCTTCATCTGAGCTCTGATGCATTCATGACAGAAGTAACAAGTACAATTTTAAGTTTCTCATGCAAAACTATCGTATGCCTTCAGCTAGGACTTGAAATACAGTGCATGAGTTGTATGGACCCGTTTTATAATACCTTTGTGGTGCTTTTGCATTTTTTTGATGCTTAAAAACTCTCGATTCATTGCAAGTGCATAAAATGAGCAAACCCTACATTAATAGGGACATCGCCTATTAAGGAATTCACCTTTTCCTTTTCAAAGAACAAATTTATGTAGGTTTAGAAGAAAAATGTTCATTTTAAAGTGTGCTATAAGTGAACATCTCAAGATCTAATTCCAAAACAAAAGTCATTTTTTACAGTTATTTTAATATTGTTTGTATTATTATTCTATTTATTCATATTTTGAATAAACTTTTATTTTTAGATTTTCAATAACATTACATTTTAAATAAAAAAAAAAATAAATAAAAATTTAGTTTAACTTTTAATAATTGTATGTTTTTGCCATTTTTATAAATGTTTGTTTATTAAATATTTCTATACAGCTTTAATGTATTTTTCCTTAGTAATTTTAGTACTTCAAATTAAACCTATTTATTTTTGAAGTATATAATTTTCGTTTACATTTTTACATCTAATATTTGTTTTCTTTTATTTCAGCTTTATTTCAGTTAATGAAAACATTTTTTTAATAACTTTCTAAGGACCCAAATGCTGTGCAAGAGATTTGTTTAGCAAAGTGACTCACTGCTAAATGCATAAAACCTGAAAATTGTTTTGTTATTGACAATCAGTGGCTGTGCACATTTAAATGCACGTTATATGTCTCTTGATTGCGGTTCTTGCGTATATACATTCACACCGCAGAACTAATAATGACATTTAAATTCGAATTACGAATTTTTGCGCATTGTTTGAACTGCAATGAATCAATGTCCATCTCTGGTTATTAAAACTAAATGCAGTGCAGATGATTCAAATCAAATAGACACTTCACAGATCATTGAGACATCTCTGCTTCTTTCTCCCCATTTCTAGGTCAGAAATGAGTGGCGCAGGAACGTTTCAGCTGGTCAAATGTTGGATCATCCTCAAACTAACAATGAAAAGAGCGTTCACTCACAGACACACACACCATACCAAGAGAAGAGGAGCGTGGGGGGGTGAGAGAAAGAGAAAGAGAGAGAGAGAGAGAGAAACGCTACAGATGCAGGAGGTGGTGCTTGGACACATTTTAGAGGCGTAAAGGCCTGCCTCATTTGGCGTAGATCAGATCTTTTACAAAAAGCCACATCCAGCACTCAAAACAAGAGAAAGTCGCCGCCGGCTGCTGCCAGCATCCTCACCCCACCGCAGGAGTAACAGCAGCCTGGCTGTTGCATCAACAACACGTAGCTGGACATGAATCCCGGCAGTCTGCGTGGCGTTCTGGACGTCAGCAACACAACCTGGGCTCTGTCGGAGCGCTCTGTGCTGCAGCCCATGTGGGATTACCTTCAGCAGAACCATGAGAGCACCTTGCGCTCGCCGCTGTTTCCCGTCATCCTCTCGGTGTCCATGTACCTGGTGCTGGTGTTCTTCTACACCGTGCTGGACCTGCTGGCTCCCACCTGGCCCTCCATCCGACGCTACCAGATCCACCAGGACCGTACCATCACCTGGTCCAACATCGGCTCCACTTTGGCGCTCACCACATACAACCATCTGCTCTACATCTTCCCCGCGGCCGTAGCCCAGTGGCTCTGGCGGCCGCCCGTGCCGCTGCCCCGCGAGGCGCCCACGCTCACCGCCTTCCTGCTGGGAATCGTGGGCTGCACCGTGGTGTTTGACTTCCAGTACTACTTGTGGCACCTGCTGCATCACCGTGTCGGCTGGCTCTACCGCACCTTCCACGCGCTCCACCACCAGTATCGCCAAACCTTCAGCCTGGTTACGCAATACCTGTCCGCTTGGGAGCTCTTCAGCGTGGGCTTCTGGACCACTGTAGATCCTTTGCTCCTGCAGTGCCACTGTCTCACCGCCTGGGCGTTCATGCTCTTCAACATCTGGGTGTCCACTGAGGACCACTGCGGGTACGACTTCCCTTGGGCGATGCATCGTCTGGTTCCCTTCGGCCTTTGGGGTGGAGCGCTGCGGCACGACGCTCACCATCAGCAGCCGGGCACCAACTTTGCACCTTTCTTCGCCCACTGGGACTGGCTGGGGGGAACCGCAACCATGCCGGCTCCTGTGAAGACAAAAACGCGGAAAGAAAGGGATGAAAAGGAAGCCTGACGCTCTGCTTTCCCTTTCACACCCTCGCTCTCATCTCTCTCTTCACTCCATCTGTCCCGCCCTGTCTCGCACGTTCCCCGTCGCTATTCATCTTCTCCCTGAACTGCAGATCAAGTGTCTTACTAACAAACTAGTAGAGAAGCAAGCAGCACATTCCCGGCGAAAGCGTCCTGCTCCTTGAATGTATAAAGTATCTTTTCTTGCAAATCTATCTATTTTTCTAAATAATAATAATAAAAAAACTCTTTAGCATTTGATGGCCAATTTGTGGAGTTTTGTGGCATATCTCAGGTTTGTAGTTTTGGCCTAATGTCTTTCAAAAAGATTATGCGTGTTCAAAATGGCTTGTATTCCAATGCTTGTTATTGTATTTTGTCACTTTTTACTAAACTTGAGTCAATAAAATGCTGTGTTGTTTGTTAAGTTTACCTTCAGCTGTGTTGATATGCATTCGAGGATGCTTTGCAACCTAAAAAAAAACCACGCTGACCGTTATAAATGTTAGAGAAGAGGAGCGTATGAAGTAACTGTGTGGCATGTTGGCTAACACAGTTGGCTCACTGTGATTGCTAGAAAGATCTAAGACTACTTACATCATCATCCCTGCTGCTGTTTGTGTTTGCTAATATAAATTCAAAATGTTCAAAATACAGACAACACAAGTAATTTTGAGCATGATAATTGGGTTGACAGTCATTGTAAAGTTTAAAGGCACAATTTACTCAGCCTAATGTCATTCCAACTTTGTATTACTGTCTTTCTTTCGTGAAACACAAAATGAGATGTTTGCCAGAATGTCCGAGCTGCTCTTCCAGCAAAAGTGGATAGTGATTTAGTTGTAAAAACAAGACAAAATGCACTACATTCCATGCCTTCTGAAGCCATATTGTACATGTGTGTGACAATCAGACCAAAATTTAAGCCACCAGAGCTCTGAAGATTGTGTTTACTTTAAAAATGATGCATCATACCTGGTTGTACATCATTGAGGCTCTTCTGGTCTTGAACATCACATGACTGATCAAGTAAAAAAAAAGTGACTGTATATAACATTTGAGAACTGCATAAGGCTTAAAGGAATAGTTCATACATATGTCATAATTTACTCACTGTTATTCCGTTTTGTTCAATGAAACAATCTGATTTTGAGTTGCTCTTACAGCGAAAATAGATAGTTTTATACTGCCAAGGTGTAAAAAAAAGACAAAAAGCTCCATAAAATGTGAGTTCTGCACTCTATTCCAAGTCTTTTGAAGCCATAAGATAGATTTGTGTGCGAAACAGACCTTTTGTTCATTTTGTTCATTTCACTTTTTGATATATCATGCCAAGTGGTACGTCACGAAGGCTGAACAATATTGGTTGACACTTGAGAACTGCATTAGGCTTAAAGAGACCCAAAAATGAGCCAAAAATTTGGTCATAATTTACTCACCTTCATGTCATTCCAACTCCATATCCTTCTTACTTCCATGAAACACAACATGAGACATTCGGCAGAATATCTGAGCTGCTCTTCCACTGAAACTACATGGTGATTTATTCTGCCAGGCTTTTAAAAAAAGACAAAAAAGCACCATAAATTGATAGTTGTGCACCATATTACAAGACTTCCGAAGCCATACCATAGATTTGTGTCCAAAAGAGAGCTCTGAAATCTCATTTGCAATTATGGTAAATATAAAAAAGCACTTTTTGACATATAGGATGCTAATGCTATTGGTTCTCATATATCACCTGACAAATCATGCTATGGCAAGTTTAATAAAAAGTCATTTTAATATTTTGCTATTTTTCGACAAATAAGATATTTTAAAGACTGCCAGGGTCCAAAACAACATTTTATCTCATTGACCTTAAAAGCACAGACAAAACACTGTTCAAAATATTTTCAGAGTCAGGTTTGGAACACCATGAGGGTAAGTAAATGAATTTTTATTTTTACATGAACTATTTCTTTAAATTTTGGTCAGTTCTTCACACTAAGGTATCAAATGGCTTCAGACGACTTGGAATATAGAGTATGATTCGTATGGACTACTTTTATGGGTTGAAATTACAATAGGGAACATAAATTAAGACAAAATTCTAGAACTATAGAAAGAAATGTGAATGTGTAAATGTGTTTACACTTTAGGATATGGATGTCCAACCGGCCTGAACATACGCCACAGCATGCATTGTTTGTTTTCAGCCATCATTCGGTTCTATGCCACACTATGCTATTCGACAGTTTTACATATGAGAAGCCCGTAGAGAATCTGGGCTGAGATCAGTCTACAGCCAAAGCAGAGAGGCAATGCTAATTAATCATCTTCTCTTTCAGCCTCCTACTGATCCCTCTGGCACATGGAGAATAGCTCTTCATGCTTTAAAAGAGAGCGAGAGAGAGAGAGAGAGAGAGAGGAGAGAGAAAGAGACATTCAGATCAAGTTGGCTTATGACACCAGGAACTGAACAATTTCTGATATGATTCAGATTTTTTCAATTTAAGATACCAGCGTGCAGTGTCGTACAACACAGATGACCTTTCGCATAGGGGGCGGTGGTGCTATCTGCAACCTTTGGCTCGCTCAGAGGAGGCCAAACAAACAAAGAAACATGAAAATCGGAGCTTCGCGGCGTTTGTGCATGCGAGGCTGAGCAGTACCTGGCTTTCGTCCAGCAGCTCAGTATCTCTGAAGACCTCAGGCTGAGCTCTCTGAACAGTAAGTTGTTATCTGCAGCTCAGCACAGGAAACACTGGAACATTTCCCATCAGGCACTGTTGTGGACGCCTCCCCCTCTGGCACTGCAACAGAGGGGTCCTTGAGGAATGTGGAAACTGGGAGAAAATGTGGACTGTGTTTTAAGCAAGTAGTTATGCAGGAGAGATAAGACAATGCTTAGACAAATCAACGAGTTGTCTGTGAACATCAGAGAGCTCACAATAGAAATGATTGCATTCACATTTACACTGAATAAGATACATCAGCCACCCAAGTTGAAAAGAACTAAACTCACTTCTTTACACTAAATAATATATCACAGAATAATCATCACAGCTCACCATGCTACTTGTATTATTTCTGCATCATATAATATGTATATTTTGCACAGTATGCATATTTTATGTATGCAACACTCTGATTACCTATTTGCAATATACAGCTATGCAAACTATACCGTATCCCACAATGTAATGCATTAGACTTGACCTTCCAATTCCACTGTGTAGAATGAAGTAGAAGCAATATTAGTGCTCATCTCCTGCCAAAAGTCGACATTTTTTTTACCCCAAATTGTATTAAAAAGGCAAAATAACTTTATAACTTGCACACAAAAATAATTGTGCAACAGAGATGCACAAATCTGCAACAGACTACCGTTTGAAACGTTTATAGTTCAATATTGCATACTGTTTTACACATTACTTAAAAATAGTACGTAGTCCATAGTATATACTGTGCAGTAAACAGTACACTAATACTTCATTCTGAACAGCCACTGATTAGACTACATGAGTGCTGCACTTACCAGATCTGTGCAGTAGATGACGCTGTGTTCCATACTCTTCCATCAACGTTAGAAATAGACTAATACAGGTGCATCTCCATAAATTAGAATGTCGTGGAAAAGTTCATTTATTTCAGTAATTCAACTCAAACTTTGAAAAAATCATGTTTTGTCCCGTATTTCAAAAGTTCTTTATGACTGGGTGATCAGAGCAAGTAATAGTAGTGTTCTGTCACACGAGAACAGCCTAATCAAAGGTAACCAAGCTCGTCGTAGAACAAAATTACCATCCAATCTCAATTCGTTATTGAATAACTTGCAGTTAGTGAAGGTCAAAAAAGGCTCCCGACCCCTAGTATATTACATTCATTCGGTCTTAAAGGGACAGCAGCCCAATTAAATACCTGTCTGTCTTATTAATGTTAATCAAACAACAAAAGATGTTAAATAAATGTATACATATTAAACCTACTGTATTAGAAAAACGAGTTTATTTAATATTTAATTAGTATCTATTGTATTTGTCTTATGGTTTGTAATTTGCTTCTTTATTTTTAATAAATATGTGGTCATATGTGGTACAGATAGTGGTCATATTTCACGCCTCCCCGCCCCAACCCCACCCCGTCCCGTATTGAACCATAATAAATCTGGTCACCTTACTAATATAATGGTAATGATTCACAGTAAAAGATACAATTGAGAAATACAGTACAAAGCATTGTCATTCTATTTTTAACTGAAATAAATGTAAATTATTCCACATTATATTAAGGTTATAAGGCCATCTACAATGTGTTTTACATGAAAAAGCTAATTAAAATTTGATTATTTTTATTTTTCATTTCCATTTTAAATTAGTAAGTCCTTGAAAATGTCTAAATAAATAAATAATTACATAAGTCCTGCTATTTTTTTTTAAAATCAATATTTCATCTTAACCCCACAAGACTTGTTCATGAGTTTTGCAACATTGACACTGTTATTGAACTGGATTGAATCAACACTGAACTAGATAGATAGATAGACAGACAGACAGACAGACAGATAGACAGACAGAGTGTGAGAAATGTGAATGCTTTGACTGGGACCACAACCACCAAAAAAACCTGCTTCAACATGCTCAGCTCAACTGGTTTTACCTGGTGTTGTGTTTTTGCTAAACACAGAGACAAAGAGCTTCACAGACAGGTCCTATTTTTAAAATATAGGCCAACACACATCCGTCAAAGACTCGAGACCCCGACAGACACAGCAGTGAATAATAAATAATTGTCTTGAGAAGTGATCCTGAATCTTAAACTGCAGGTGGCGGTGCATGGGCACATGCAATTGAACAGCCGAATGAAAGACAAGGAGACTGAGGTGTATTGTTTGCACAAATCCACATACTATCTGTTCAGGAAGCAATCCAAAATGTCAACACTTACATACAGTCAAACTCACTAATACTCATTATCTCACAGGTTATAATGTATACCTGTCCCTACTCTGCTTTATGCATCCCTGATGTTTGTTCATAAAGCTGAATAACAGGTTGTCAGACACATGGAGGGAGGAAAGGGGGAGTGAATAGATAAAGAAAGAGAGCAGAGGGAGGGAGAGAGGATAGAAAGAGAAGTAATGTCTTCCTCTCTGTGCTGTCAGCGTTATGCAAAAGGAACTTCTCGCTTT